CGCTGCGCCACAAGCCCGATTTGCAAATTAAAATGAAATCTCAGAATACTTAAAATAAATCTAAAACCTGGGATCTGCACAAAACAAGACAGACAGATACTTTCGAACAGGGATGCAACAAAAGGGTCGAATTTCAACAGAAATTTCACAGAGGGGGTTCGAACATTTGTAACAATAGCAAGCATATATTTTCCCAGAGTTCCCGAAACGTTTTTAAAACAAGTTTTTGAATCAAAAATCGAACCGACAATAATATGGCTTGAAAACAATAAACGACACAACCACGTCGACAAGGTTCGAAACAATAAAACGAGACTCTGAATTACCATCTACCAATCGAAGACACAGCAACACATCCGGACTTGAATTACACAATAAACGAGAGTTCCGAAAATCCACGAAACATAATCCGAACGAAACGATAAATAATCCGACGATGAACTAATTCAGCGAGCACATGAAAATCGAGCGATTATCACAAATACGAACATATAAATCAACACATAAACCGAATTCGAAACCCAACGAAACGATTCAACGCGAGCGATAATAAACAAAATAATATTATGCTGAACGTCAATAAACGAGAGGCTTCTCCGATTACCTTTCTTCAGGAAATCGACGAGCTTGGGGAATAAAAGGACCAAATGAACGGAACTCAAACGAGCGGATCCAAAACCTCGAAGTTCCTCAAAATCTCAGATTGAAACTCGAAGAATAACTCGTGAATTGGACTGCTGAGGGTCGGCGACGGTGGAGCTGCGCGGAGGTGGTCTCGCCGGAGTAGGAGATAGTCGCCGAAATTAATGGCGGATGGGGATTTGCAGCTATTCTCGACCGGAGCTGCGGTGCGGGACGAAAGACGCGCTGCTACTGCCTCTACCTCGATGACGGCGGACGAAAGGACGCCGCTCTCGCTGGAAATTGCCGGCGCACGAAAATATATTTTTTTTTTTGAACAGAGTGAGAGAGATAGGTGGAAGGTTGAGTTTAAAGGAATCTGATATTAATTTAAAACTTCTCTCGGTACAGTTATAGAGATATGCGGGTGAATTGAGCGATCA